CATTCAAAATCCTCTTTTAAAGATTATATATGAATATGTAGATATAAATATAAATATACAAATATATATCTCAAATATCCTTTATTCATGGTAGCAACATTTAAAATCCTCTTTTATATATTTTATACATATTTATATATATACATATATATATAGAGAGAGAGGAGGAGAACATTATTTTCATTTATAGTCACCTTACTGTGCAATAGAACAGTGGAATTTCTTTCCTCTATCCAACTGTAATTTGGAACCTGTTAATTTGCCTTCTTGTAAGTTGAGAAATTCTCACAAGCCTGATTTCCTTCATTATAGATAATTAAATACAACTTTTTATAACAGCTATTGCTTTAAAACACATATTCTCCATCTTTAATATCACATTTTACCTTTAAGCTTTTTATATGTAGCGTTGGAATTTAAAGTTGTGTACTTCCATATTCCCACTCACTATCTTCAAAGAATTGTTATCTTATATTTCACCTACACATGTTGTGAATTCTTACAATACAAAGTTATTTTTGTTTAAATAAGTCATCTTTTACAGAAAGGTAATTATTTGTCAATCATGCATTTATCTACGGAGTTTCTATTGTGACAATGTTTATTTACACTTCTTGTCTTATCTTCCTTGTGCCTAAAGGGGGATTCCTGTACATTTTCTTTTAGTGCAAGTCTGAGAAGAACAAGTCAGACAGATCCAGAACTTATTTGAGGCAAACAAGACTCTCAAGGTGTGAAATTAGGGAAGCATTCAATCTCTAGCCTGTGTAAGTGCAGGGTCAGCATTTGAGAATGGATGCTTCCTTAAATTTTGTGCTCTTTGTGACCTGCATGCCATACTTGAGTCCCAGAACTGCTTTCAGGTCTTTCAGGTCTGAAAATGTATATATTTTGCTTTTTTCTTTTTTGACAGGCAGAGTAGATAGTGAGAGAGAGAGACAGAGAGAAAGGTTTTCCTTTTGCCGTTGGTTCACCCTCCAATGGCCGCCACAGCTGGCGCGCTGCGGCCAGCACACTGCGCTGATACGAAGGCAGGAGCCAGGTGCTTCTCCTGGTCTCCCATGGGGTGCAGGGCCCAAGCACTTGGGCCATCCTCCACTGCACTCCCTGGCCATAGCAGAGAGCTGGCCTGGAAGAGGGGCAACCGGGACAGAATCCGGGGCCCCGACCGGGACTAGAACCCAGTGTGCCGGCGCCGCTAGGTGGAGGATTAGCCTATTGAGCCGTGGCGCCTGCCGCTTTCTTTATCTTTTTAAAAATGTATTCATGTATTTGATATTTTTCATTTTCTGGCATACACCCCAGATACCCACCACAGCCAGGGCAAGGCCGGGCCTAAGACAGAAGCCAGAAACTCCACCCAGGTCTCCCTTAGGGGTGACAGGAGCCCAAGCACTTGGGCCATTCTGTTGACTTTCAAGCCAATCAGCATGCTTTGTATAGGTATGTTTCCTGACAGTTATCTCTTCATACTCTAATGATAAAATGACTGCTCACTTCTTTTTCCATTTTCCAATACAATCTTTGGTTTGTTGTCTTTTTTTCCCCATTTTTGTTTTGCGTCTTGACAGTTCTTTGTATAATCATGCTACAAGTCTTTGATTTTTTTAAAAAGTTTTTGCCAGGCAGAGTTAGACAGTGAGAGAGAGAGACAGAGTTATAGACAGTGTGAGAGAGAGACAGAGAGAAAGGTCTTCCTTCCGTTGGTTCACCCCCAATTGGCCGGGTGCTTCCTCCTGGTCTCCCATGCAGGTGCAGGGCCCAAGCACTTGGGCCATCCTCCACTGCCCTCCTGGGCTATAGCAGAGCGCTGGACTGGAAGAGGAGCAACCGGGACTAGTACCCAGTGCTCCAACCGGGACTAGAACCTGGGGTGCTGGCGATTAGCCAAGTGAGCCACGGTGCTGGCCATGCTACAAGTCTTTAATGAGATATGTGTTTCACAAATATTCCCTCCCAGTCTGCATTCACTGAATCCCTCCAAAAACAAATTTGATTATGATGAAGACCGTTATTCACCTTTCCTTTGTTGAGTAGTGATTATGTCAGCCCCTAGGAATACTCTTCACCTAGACCTAGGCTCCAAAATATCCATCATATTTTTTCTAAACACTCATGGTAAATTGCTTAAATCCAAGTCCATGAACTATTTTCAATTAGTTTTTGTATAAATTTGAAGTTGAGGTTGAGGTTGATTGTTGGCCTACAATTGCTACAAAATGCCCAATTGCTTCAGGAGTATTTATTTAAAATCTATACTGTGCTGTGACGAAGCAGGTAAAACCGCCATCTGCAGTTCCGGTTTCCCATACAGGCACCGATTCGTGTCCTGGCTGCTCCACTTCCAGTTCAACTCTCTGCTGTGGCCTGGGAAAGCAGTAGAAGATGGCCCAAGTCCTTGGGCCCCTGTACCCATGTGGAAGACCTAGAAGAAGCTCCTGGCTCCTGGCTTCGGATTGGCCCAGCTCCAGCATTGCAGCCAACTGGGGAGTAAACCAGCAGATGGAAGACCTCTCTCTCTTGTCTCTGCCTATCCTTCTCTGTGTAACTCTGACTTTCAAGTAAATAAATAAATCTCAAAAAAAAAAAAACAAAAAACCCTATACTGCTTCCATCAACTTTTTTAACACACTTGTAACAAATCAATTCAATATGTTTGTGAGAATCTACAACTGGTTATTGCATCCCCCTCTATGGACCTGTGTGTTCCTTACTCTTAGCACCATACTATCTGGACTACTACACCTACAAAATACTTTGTAACATTCAGAAAATTCATTTTCCTCACTGCATATGGCTCAAACTAGTTTTAACTATTCTATTCCCTAGGTTTTTCCATACAAACTTTAAGATGCTGTGCCTTGGAAAAACCTTGCTGGAATTTTGATTGAAATTTTCTTAAACCTATAGTTTAATTTGAGAAAAAATTGTATCTTTCCAAAGTTGAGTCTTTCACACTGTAATAACAGAATACCTCCCTGTTTTTTGAGATCTTCTTTGATTTTGTTCATCAGAATTTCACAATTTTCAAGATAGAGATAATGTTATAGTTTTATTAGATTTGTACATAAATATTTCTTTCTGGGAGTAAATTTAAGTGGTATTATGTTTAAACTTCAGTATCTGCATGCATGGTGTGTGTAGCAATGCAATTTGTGTACCATATTGATCTCTCTTGCAACCTTGCTAAACTTATATATTAGTTCTTGATATTATTTATGTGGACTGCTGTGACATTAGCAATGTCATCTTCCATCCCAAGCTGGTCAGTTTTGATTTTCTTCATATTGCCTTATTGCACTATTTAGAATTTCTAGTACTTTGTTAAAGAATAGTGTTGGGAATAGACACTTTTGCTTTGTTCTGAATCTTAAGAGAAAATATTTTGTTTTTCACCACTAAGTATGATGTTAACTCAAATTTTTCTTTGGATGCTTTTTTGTTACATTGAGGAAGTTTCCACTTCTAGTGTGCTGAGTTTTTATCATTAATGATGATGAATTTTGTCAAATGTGACAATTGATCGTTTTCTTTAACACTGGCTGATTGAATTATAACTGGCATATAAAAAGCTGAACAATCTAATATACAGAACTCTATGTGTACGGAAATAAGTACAGATCAGTGAAACCTTTCCTGATCACTTTTTCTTTCAGGCTATTGCTACTGTGGATTGATTGTCAAGTATTGGAGTGGATTGGATTGGTCTTGTATATCTGGAGTAAATTGTACTTGTCTGAGTTTTATTATTTTATGCTCCTGAATTTGATTTAATAATATTTAGTTGAGTATTTTGCATGAGTATTTTTGCATGAGTATTTTCACATGAATTCATGAGATAGATTAGCCCAGAGTTTGATTATCTTCTATCATTGTCTGGAATACTTGTGTTTTTTTAAAAACACTTAAGCCTCTGTAAGGATTCCAGGGGCTAGTGTTGTAGCATACTGGGTTAAGTCCCCACCTGTCCTCACTGTTACAATTCTGGGCCATCTCTCTGCGAATGCACCTGGGAAGGCAGAGGAAGATGGCCAAAATGTTTGGGAACTGTCTGTCTATGTGGGAGACCCAAGAGAAGCTCCTAGTTTTTGGCTTCAACCTAGTCAAGCCCTGGCTTTTGCAGCCATTTGGGAGGTGAACAAGAAGATAAAAGATATCTCTTTCTTTCTCTCTCTCTCTCTCTCTCTCTCTCTCTCTCTTTTTCTCTCCCCCCTCCTCTCTGTGTATCTTTCTCTCTACTCTCTCTCTGTAACTGTGCCTTTCAAATAAGTGAATACTTTAAAAAAGAATTCTAGTTGAGAATTTTTGTTTATTTTTGGTTTGGAGGTAGTACTTTGAATATATATTCTTCAAGCTTTTGTTGATGTTGCTTTTTGGTAAAGAAAATTTGCTTTCATTTTTTTTGTTCGTATGAAAATTTTCTTTTTTCTGGATACATTTAAGATTATGTCTTTATTACTTATTTAAGCAATTTGTGATACGCCTTGATTTTCTGCCTCCAGGCTTCTTGTCTTTGATCTTGTTGAGTTGGTACATTTATCTCTTCCAGCATCTGTGGCAAATTTTAACCATTATTTCTTCAAATATTTTTTTCTTTTGTGGCTCCATTTTTCCTTTGTAGACTCCAATTATACGTGTTTAAACTACTCATTGATGTTCTCTTCATTCTCTAGTTCTCTGTCTTTCCATCTGAGTTTCATAGTGTGCAGTTTGCCTTGCTCTGTGTTCAAGTTCCTTTCTTCTTCCACATCTATTCTGCTATTAATTATTTCCAACAGTATATTTCACCATAGACATTTTACTTTTAATTTGTGAAAGTTCAGTTTGGCTATTTTTATACATTTCTATCTCTATGTAAATATTTAAATATAAGTAACAAAGTTTTAATTATTATTCCTTTTTGTCCTTATTTTCTAATTCTAACTGTGCTAGTTCAAGATTCTTTATGACTGATAGATTTTTTCCCTTATATGGTGTCATTTTTTTTCTTTTACTCACAGGCCTGGTAATATTCAGTTGAATCTAAGACATTATCAACTGTACTTTGTTGGCTCCTAGATATCTTTGTGTTTGTACAAGAAAAAAAAATCTGAATTTTCTCAAGATAAACAGTTGTTACATGGAAACAGTTTGATACTCTTGGGTCTTGCTTTCAAGATTTGTTAAATAAAATCAGCACATCATTGATTCTCCCTACTGATTTAAGATGCCTCAAGTAATCTGCGTTGAAATGTGAGCATTCCATTCTGGATGGAAATGGTGGTAAGTGTTAAGCATATTTCCTTCTAGCCCTTTTGATGGGTCTTTCCCCAGCCTTACAGTTTCTTCACACACATGCACTGATAAAGACTGCTAGAAGCCCAAGGTCATCGTTGTGGTTCTTCTGGTTTATACCCTGGGAAGCTCACATCAGCTTGGTTCTCTGTCCTTCAAACACTTGCTGTCTTTGTCTCTGCATACCCTGAAAGGTCTAGAAAGTGTTACTTAAGCATCTTTTGAAAGCACAAGGCCTTATTCTAAGTATTGTTTGTGCAAACTTCTGTTTTCATTTTCTCTTCGAAAGAGTCTAACATCTAACAAGTAGTTAGAAAAATTAGCTAGAATTTTTTTTCCAAAATAACTTTGCTAAATACAACAACAACATATATGTTTTGGAAAATTATCTTTTTTTTTCTAAACACATGAAGTTAACAATATTAATATTATTATTAAGTGACTTATAAATTCTTATGGCCTGTGTAATATTTATGGAATTATAGAAAATTTATGTAGCTGATACAGAAATGATTTTTACATATGATATTTCTAGGTTCTAGACTTCCTTGTCTTACTGTGATAGACTGTATTTTACAAAGATGGCATCAATAAAAGCTCTAGCCTCACATACTTTTTTCCTTGTAGCAAAGAAAATTTGTTATTCACTTGTAATTAATAGAAATGCTGGAACATCAGTGTGTGACTTCATAGATAAAGTCACCAAAAGCAATGAAGATCCTACCTTCTTACTGGAATATTGGTTCTTGTGCACTCAGCTGTGAGATAGTCTGTCCTGATGCTTCAGTGCTGTGAGAAAGTCCAAACCAGCGCTTGATTGAGATCTACTTTGAGAAATTAAGGTAACATAAAGATAGAGATTTCCAGATGAGTCACCAAATTTGGTGAGTCACCAAATGCAAAGATATCTTGAGCTGGTACCATCCAGACAAATCTTATCAAGAACTATGATAAACCTGAGAATTTACTGTAGTCTTAAACTAACAATTTCATCCTCTGTAGTTTAATAGATACTGAGAGAAGACAAGATTCCTGGATCAGGGATTGTGATAGTTAAAATTATGAGACAGCTTGGCTAGATCAGGGGATGCCCATATATTTGGAAAAATATCCCATTCTGGGGAACCTGTAAGAATGTTTGTGGATGAGGTTTGCATTTGATTGGTAGATTCAGTACACTGAATTGTTCTTACCAACATGTGCAGCCATCACATAACCCCTTGAGGAACTGCAACAGACAAGACAAGGGAGTAGGGATCACTCATTTGGTGCAGAGGATAAGAAGGTGCTTGGGATGCTCACGTTCCCATTTCAGAGTACCTGGGTTTGAGTTCTGGCTCCCCTCTGATTCCAGCTTTCTGTAATGTGCAGGTGAAAACTCAAACACTTGGATTCCTACCACCAATGTGAGAGACCTGAATTAAATTAAATTAAATCAAATTAAATTAAATTAAATTTGTCTCTGGCCTGGCCCAGCCCTGCTTGTTGCAGGTATTTGGGAATTGAATCACCAGATGGAAGACTGATATCTATATATGTATCTAACATCTATCTCTCCCCTCCTCTCTCAATGCTTCAAATAAATAAAAATAACTTTTAAAGGCAAAGAAAAGAGAAATTTGCCCCCCTTTTTTTATGCCCGTCTTCTTGACTTGTAACATTGGTCTTCTTCCCTTGAACTGGGATTTGCACCATTGAAAGATTGTTACTTTTATTCATTTGAAAGCCAAAGTAATGGAAAGAGGTCTTCTATCTGCTGGTTCATTCCATAAAGGATGACAACAGCTGGGGCCAAAGCCAGAAGCCAGGAATTTATTCCACTGACTCCTCTGATTCTCAGACTTTCAGATTCAGACTGGAAGCACAGTGCCAGCTATTCTGGATTCTGAGTTTGGGTCAATTCCTTATAATAAATTGTGTGTGTGTGCGCGTGTGTGTGGGTATGTGTGTGTTTGTGCCATTTGTTTTGTTTCTCTGGAGAGTAATGCAAAGAACTTTTTAAAGCATGGCACAGGATAGTATGAGCTTCATATCCCTCCCCCTCTCCCTGTCCCAGTTAAAAGTGGGCAATGAGGAGTGTGGTCCAGGGATATATTGCACACACGGTAGGTTTCAGTCTGAATTACCTTAAATTAAAATCTTACTCCTTTCTTAATAATAGAGATATTAAGACCCCATAAAACAAACATCTAAAATTCAAATCTTTTTGAATGCCAATAAAACAACACAGTGGAAAATTACTTCTGACCCCGTGTGACTGGTCTCAAACAAAATACAGGTGCACTAAAAACATCGTATACAATTACCTTCCATATACATGAGTAAGATGTATATAAATGAGTCTCGAGTCTCATGTTTAGAATTTTGCTCTATTCCTGTGATCTCTTGTAATATATATTCAAACATTCTAAAATTAGAAAGACTTTGAAATGCAAAATAGTTGTGATCTAAAGCATTTCAGATAATGTACATTGAACTTGTAAGGAAGCTGCTAGCACACCTATTCAATCTTCCCAGAAGGAAACATTAGCTTTTGTTCTCATCAGGCATGGCAACTATTCTTGAAGCAAAAGGAGGCATCGTGTCCACTTTCCAAGGCCTGCTGCTCTACAGTCATCCTTGAAAACAGCAGTCTGGAACAAAGCTGTTAATGTCTCCACCTCAGAAGATAACCAGGAATGTAAGGGACCCAATGGAGAATTGTCTCCCAGAGAAACTCTTCCAAACTGCTGTCCCACGGATACTGTGAGCAATATAAAACCAACGAAACAGCTTTATGTCATTAATGTTTGGGGTGACTTTTAGGCTACAGTAATAAAGACAGGTTACCTTAAGACAGAGTTCTTACCTGTGATGATAAATAATTATATGTTCATCTAAATATTTTCTATCTAGGCAAGAATTGGGCCAACCAATTAAGAGGCTATTTCGAATGCCTGCAACTTATATTAGAGTGCCTAGTTCCAAGCCCCAGTTGAGCTCTTTATCCCAGTTTCCTGCTGATGTCAACCCAAGGAAGCAGCAAGTGATAGTTCAACTATTTGGGTTCCTGCTACCCATGTGGGAGACCATGATTATGTTTTCAGCTCCTGTGTATCACAGCCCTGTATGTTGCAGACATTCAGGGAGTGAATCAGCAGATGAGATGTTTCTGTCTATCTGCAAGGCTTCATCTAATTTCTCTTTCTACCTTTAAACTAAATATATAAAAATTTAAAAATAGAATAAAAACTAAGTTTAGCTATCAAAAAAACAGAGGAACTGCAAGAATATAACAAGAGAGTTCACTTTTGAAAAGGAGGTAAAATTAAAATAACTTAAAACCTACTTCCTGCATCTATTGAAGTGACCATAGACCATATGCTTTTCATTCTTCATTCTATTGAAGTGGTTTATGATGCTTATCTATTTGTAAATGTTGAACCACACTTGCATTTCTGGGATAAATAGCTTAATACCACTCGATCATGATATATGTTTTTTTTTTTCTGTGATTTTGGATTTGATTTGCTAGTATTTTGTTGAGAATCTTTGCATCTATGCTCATTAAGGATACAGATCTGTACTTTTTTTTTCAACATGTCTTAATAATGCTGGCCTCATAAAGAGTTTGGCAGAATTCCATCCTGTTCAATATTTTGAAATAATTTGAAGAGTATTGTAGTTACTTCCTCTCTGAATGCTTTGTAGAATTCAGTAGTAAAGCCATCAGGTCCCAGATTTTTCCTTGATAGAAGACTTTTGATTACTGCTTCAATCTCATTACTTGTAATGGATCTGTTTAGGTTGCATATGTCTTCTTGATTTAATCTTGGCAGGTTATATAAATCAAGGAACTTATCCATTTCTTCAAGGTTTTCCAGTTTATTAACATGCAGCTCTTTATAGTAGTTTCTTGTGATCGTTTGTGTTTCAGTGGTATCAGTTGTAATGTCTCCTTTTTCATCTTTAATTTTATTTATGTGAGTTTTTCTCTCTTTTTTTCTTTGTTAGTCTGGATAGAGATGTAGCATTTGATAAGATTCCAACTCCTTCACAATAAAAAAAAAATATCTCCACAAGTTAGGTAGAAAAGGAAATTCCTCAAACTTACAAAGGCTATATGTCACAAGCCAACAACCAATATTATACAGAATGGGAAAAGCTAGAAATATTTGCCCTCAGATCTGAAAGAAAATAAGGATTCCACTTTGTCACACCTATTCAATATAATACTAGAAGTTTTAGCAAGATCAATTAGAGAGGAGAAAGAAAGAAAGGGCATCAGAATTAGAAAAGAGGAAGTCAAATTATCCATGTTTGGAGATCACATGATTTTGTAAAAGGAAAAAAATAAATATCCCTCCAAAAACCTGTCAGAATTGATAAAGCAATTCAGTAAAGTTGCAAGTTACAAGATAAACATATAAAAAATAGCAATTTTTGTATGCTAATGATGAACTCACAGAATGAAAAATTAAGAAAGAAATCCCATTTATAATAGCCTCAAAAATAAAATCAAATATGTAGGAATAAATTTAACCAAAGAAGTGACAGATTTCTACAATGACAATCAATTACCAAACATTGATGAAAGAAATCATAACAGACACAAAAATGGAAAGATATTCCTTGTCTGTGGATCAGAAGACCCAGTATAATTAAAATGTCTATACTACCTAAAGTAATCTATACATTCAGAGCAATGCCTATCAAAATACTAATGACATTCTTTACAGCATTAGAAAAACTAATCACAAAAGACCCCGAATAACCAAAGAAATCCTCAACAAGAAAAATCAAGCAGAAGGCATCATGATACATGAGTTTAAAGCATACTCAAAGCTATAGTAATTAAAACAGCATGTTACTGTCATAAAAACTGACACGTAGTTCAATGGAACAGTACAAACAGCCCAGAAATTAATCCACATGCATACATCTAGGTTTTGACAAAAGTGCTGACATCATACAGTGCAGTAAGGATAATCTCTTTAACAAATGGTGCTCATAAAACTGAATGTATATAAGTAGAAATTAGGTCCATATCTCTCACTATATACAAAAATCAACTCAAGATGGATTGAAGGCCTAAATTTAAGACCAGAGATTCTGAAATTTTTGGGATAAACACAGGGGAAACACTCCAAGACAATGATGTAGGGTATGACTTCTTGGACAAGACCCCCAAAGCAAGAAAAACTAAACAAATGGGACTATATAAAGCTCATAAGATTTTACACAGCCATAGGAAATAAGACATAGAGTGAAGAGACATCCAACAGATTGGGGGGAAAAAAAGCTTGTGAACCAATTATCTAAGAATCAATATCCTGAATATCAACAACTTAAAAAACTCAAAAAATCAATCAATTCAGTTAAGTAAATGATCAAAAGACTTCAGTAGATAGTTCTCAAATCAAGAAACACAATGATCAACCAATATTTGAAAAATGTTCAACAACACTAGCCATCAGGGAAATGCAAATCAAAACCACAATAAAATATCACCTCACCTCTGTCAGAGTGGCTAAAATGCAAAACGGAGAGAGTAACCAATGCTGGTGAGGATGTGGAGAAAAGGAAACACTTAGACACTGTTGGTAGGAATGTAACTTGGTGCAGCCACTGAGGAAACAGTGTGATTTCTTAAAATAATAAAAAAAAAAAACCTAGAAATAGACTTTCTATATGATCCAGCAATTCCACTACTGGGAATATACCCACAGGACCTGAACACAATGTATCAAAATGGTACATGCACCACCATGTTTATAGAAGTACTGCTCACAATATCCAGAATTTGAGATCAACCAAGGTGTCCATCATCAAATGAAAGAATAAAGAAAATGTGGTATATATACAGTGGAATAGTATTCAGCTTTAAAAAAGAAATTCTACCATAATTTGCAGCCAAATGGATGAAATTGGAAGACCTGATGCTGAGTGAAGTAAACCAGACCCAAAAAGACAAATACCACGTTTTCCTTTTTAGTGGGAGCTGAAATTTAAAAAACAAAAAAAGTGAAAGAAATAAATATATGTCTGTGTATATCAGTATTGCTATAAATATCATTTTGTAAAACTTTGTTTCCTTTGTGAAACCAATTTTTTAAGAATGTTATACTACTAGGCCAGCGCCGCGGCTCACTAGGCTAATCCTCCGCCTTGCGGCGCCGGCATACCGGGTTCTAGTCCCGGTCAGGGCGCCGGATTCTGTCCCGGTTGCTCCTCTTCCAGGCCAGCTCTCTGCTGTGGCCAGGGAGTGCAGTGGAGGATGGCCCAAGTGCTTGGGCCCTGCACCTGCATGGGAGACCAGGAGAAGCACCTGGCTCCTGCCATCGGATCAGCGCGGTGCGCCAGCCATGGCAGCCATTGGAGGGTGAACCAACGGCAAAGGAAGACCTTCCTCTCTGTCTCTCTCTCTCACTGTCCACTCTGCCTGTCAAAAAAAAAAAAAAAAAAAAAAGAATGTTATACTACTATATTTTGAATGATCCGTGGTTACTTTAAAATTTAATGTATGTGGGTTATGTGGCCATTTTTCCATTCAATTATTGTTTATAGCAATTGTCCATATTTCCATTAAACTAGGATCGTTCTGCTTTTTTATTTATTAAACTTCTATATTATGAAGTATTAAGCCATTTTACTGTAATATAAATGTAAAATATGTTATCTCAAAAACTAAAAAAAGATAGAAAGGAAGGGAGGAAGAGGACAAGGGAAGGAGGAATGGAGGGATGGAGAAATGAAATATCATTATGTTCTTAGACTTGCATTATAAATCACATTGAATCTGTTAAAAACTAATTAAAAATTAAAATAAAATTAAAAAAATTCAAATATCAGGACATTTCCAATGTAAACTACGGTGCAGAAATCTAAGGCAATAGAACTCCATTCAAGCATGGTTGCTGCAGCAAATTATCACTGAATTGACAGGTTAAAAAAAGCATGAATTTATTGTATTACTCTTGTGGAGGCATAAATCCGAATCAGTGTTGACAGGGAGAAATCAAAGTGTTGGCAGGATCAGTTTTGCTCCAAATGCTTTAGCGATTTCTTGCCTCTTCCAACTTCCAGTGACTGCTGGCGTTCCTTGACTGGTAGCCATATCATCCCAATTTCTACCTCTCTGCTGGTAACCTCCTTTTCTTTCCTAAATAATATTTCTTTACTGCCCTCTTATAATGAGTGCCTATGACTGCATGTAGGGTGCTCTTGTTTAATCCAGGATAGTGTCTGTATTTCAAGAGCCTTAACTTAGGTGGTGGAAGGAAGATGGAGGCTGTGTAAGAAGTTCCAGCAGCCATCTCTTCATCCACATGAGCAGCTAGGCTCCCACCATGTCACCTACCAAAGAGCTGTGGAAGTCAAGGGTGAGACCACAGTACCTCATCGTGCCATGATCATTAGGAAAGCTACACTGAAAAAAGCAAGAAAATACTTGCCTGTGTTACTTATCTCCCTGTTTGAAGGAGGCCTCCCTTTCGAAAGACAGAGAATGAACTGAATCCCAGTGCTAAGACCACTGTGGAAAATTACAGTCATGCTGAGCCCATGTGCTCCTGCCCACTGTGCAGCCCACTCCAGTAGCAGGATATACTACCCGGCATTTATAAAAGCAAAGATACATATGAAACCAAATCCCAAAATTAATTCTCCAATATGCATTTCACGAAGAATCAGGGAGTTTCAGGGACACATGGCCTCACTTAATGAACAAAAGAAGGTGCCATAAACAAGCTCTATAGAAATTAAAGTACTCAAAAGCTCAGATGAACATGTCAAAATAGCTGTTTTAAGGAAACTAAATGATATTCAAGAGAACACGAAAAAATATTTCAATATACTAACAGAGACGTTCTACAGAGAGATGGAAATCCTTCAACTGAAAAATACAATAGGTGAAATTTAAAATGTAATAGAAGGCATCAATAGCAAAACAGATCCAACAGAAGAAAGAATGTGTGCTTAAAAATAGGCTACTTGAAAATAATACACAGTTAAAGGATGGGAAAAAAGGAACCAAGTGGAGTGAAGAACGCCTACAGAAAATATAGGGTAGCATGAAGAAAGGAAACATTTCAGTTATTGTGGCTCAAGAGGGACTTGAAAATGTTAAAAAGAGTAGAAAACATATTCAATAGATGATGACAGGAAGCTTCCCAAACCTAGAGAAAGACCGAAGCACCCTGGTATCAGAAAATCCAGGGTCACTAGTCAGATTCAACTCCAATCTATGTGCATATTATGATCAAGCTATGTAAAGCTCTGAGACGTATTATAATCAAACTTTCCAAGATTAAAAATAAGAAGCAAATACTAGGAGCTACAAAAGAGATGAAGCAGGTAACATGTAAAGAGGCTGAAATTTGCTTGACTGCAGAATTCTCAGCAGAAAGTTTATAGATCAGTAGGGTTTAGGATGAGACTATCATAGCACTAGAGGGAAAAATTCTGAGTCAATAATACTGTACATAACAAAGCTATCTTTCAGATTTAAGGAGAAGATGAAGATAGTCCCAGAGAAACAAAAGTTGAGCGAAATTATCACCACTGGACAGTGAAGTTAGTTCCTGAAACTGAACGAAATGCTAACAAGAAGAAAGTATCAGAAGATAGAACACTATGATGAATAACTATAGCAACAAGTTCAGAATCATTTAAATGTTTGCTGTGAAGACTTTAAAAATCATAATTGCTACACTAAAATGTTAAGTGATGAGAAATATTGAAAAAGGTCAAACGTAACCTCAAAAATTCAATAGCACATGGAAAATTTCCCAGGATAAATCAAATGGCAGGTCAAAACAAGTATAAATAACTTTAAAAGAATAGAAATCATATTGAATGATTTTCTGACCATATGCAACCAAATTATCAATCAACAAGAGAAACATTGTAAACTACACAAATGCATAAAGATTATATAATGTACTCAAGAATAACCAGAGGACCAGGAAGAAATGAAAAGAGATATTAAAATATTTTTGAATGAAAAGAAACACCAAATACAAAAACAATTTAAGATACAGCAAAAGCGTATTGAGGGAAATTTATGATAATCAATGCCTGCATCAAGAAAACAGAAAATCCATACTTAATGTATACTAAGCTGATCTTCTGTATATTAAGATAATCGAAAATGAATCTTGATGTGAATGGAAGGGGAGAGGGAGTGGGAAAGGGGAGGGTTGTGGGTGGGAGGACGGTATGGGGGGGAAGCCATTGTAATCCATAAGTCGTACTTTGGAAATTTATATGCATTAAATAAAAGTTTAAAAAAAAAAAGAAAACAGAAAAATGTCCCATTTGAACAACTTGTCATTGCCTTCAAGTAACTAGGATAGTAAGAACAAATCAAATCCAAAATTGAAGGAGGGAAGGAAATAATAAAATTCAGAGCACAAATAAATGCCAAAAAAAGTTTTAAGTATGAAAAAATTAAATAAATAAAGAGTTGGTTCTTTGGAAAGATACACAAAATTGATAAAACCTTTGGTGTGCTAACCAAAACCAAATTTCAAATACATAGAGTAAAAGGTGAAAATGGTGACAATGCCACTGACACCAAAGGTAATCAAAGGATTGCTAGATCTTACTAAGTACAACTGAATGGCAACAAATTGATAACCAAACACACATACAAATTACTGAGACTGAATCACGAGGAAATAGAATACCTCAACAGAACAATACTGAGTAATGAAATTTAACCAGCAATGAAAATCTTCCATCATATAAAAGCCAACGACCATATGGATTCTCTGCTGAACTCGACCAAATATTTAATGAAGAATTCACATCAGTCCTTCTTAAATTGTTTCAAAGAATAGAAAAAGATGCCTCCAAATTTATTCTTTGAAGCCAGCATTATCTTGATGGCAAAACCAGAGAAGGGCAAAACAAGAAAGAAAAAAAAAAAAAAAAAAGGAAAAAAAGCTACAGGCCACCCTGTTAAATGTAAGAGTGGGAATAAGAGAGGGAGGAGATGTATAGTTCTGCACATGCTCATTCAGACTTAACCCCAATGGTCGAGGTAGAAATGTGCCAGGGGATTCCAATTCAATCCCATCAAGGTGGCATGTACCAATGCCATCTTACTTGTTAAAGTGATCGGTTTAAGTTCATAATTGATCAAAAAGATAGGATTAAGTGTCAAAGGTATTACATAAATAAGACCAGTGTCTGCAAATAATAATTGATAAAATTGAGAAGGAGAGAAACGATCCAACATGGGAAGGGGGATACACAGCAGACTTATAGAATGGCAGATGCCCTAAACAGCACTCTGGCCTCAGAATTAGCCCTTAAGGCATTCGGCTAAAAGGCCCATGAGAGTTTACCAGAATCACTTTTTGGCCTTTTGGCTAAGATCAAGTGTGAGAGTTTACCAGGAATGGAAAGACAAGACACTGTGGCAAAAAAAAAATAAATAAATAAATAAATAAAATAAAAAAAATAAAAAACCTAAATGAAAGATCTCTGTGAGTGAGATCCCAGTGGAAAGAACAAAAGAACGGGCCATCAAATAAGGATGTACCTTTCTCTGAAGGGAGAAGAGAACTTCCATTTTGACTATGGCCTTGTCTAAATAAGATCGGAACTTGTGAACTCAAGAGGCTTCCATAGCATTGGCAGCTCATGACAAGAGCCTCGGGTGATTACTGATGTCATAAATAAGAGTGTCAATTGTTAAATCAACAACGGGAGTCACTGTACACCTGCTCCCCGTGTAAGACCTCTGTCCTTAATGTGTTGTACTATGCAAATTAATGGTAAAACTACTACTCAAACAGTACTGTATACTTTATGTGTCCATGTGGGTGCAGTGTGTTGAAATCATTACTTAATATATACTAAGTTGATATTCTGTATATAAATATAACTGAAAATGAATCTTGATGAAGAATGGGATGGGAGAGGGAGTGGTTGATGGGATGGTTGCAAGTGGGAGGGAGGTTATGGTGGGAAAAGCCACTATAATTCAAAAGTTGTACTTAGGAAATTTATGTTTATTAAATAAAAGTTGGGAAAAAAAGCTTTTAAAATGGAAAATAAAAAGAAAGCTACAGGCCAGTATACTTCATAAATAAAACATTCCTGAAATACAAAAATTATCAAAAAAATACTAGCAAATCAAACTATCATTACATTAAAAAAATGGTGTTCATCCATGGCTGAATAAATGGTTCCACATATGTAAACAAATAAATATGATACACCATATCAACAAAATGAAAGTTAAAATCACATAATTATGTCAATATATTCTGAAAAGGCATTTGATAACATCAACATTCATTATAAAAAAACCTCTGATGAGAGCCGGCGCCGTGGCTCAATAGGCTAATCCTCCACCTTGCGGCGCCGGCACACCGGGTTCTAGTCCCGGTCGGGGCGCCGGATTCTGTCCCGGTTGCCCCTCTTCCAGGCCAGCTCTCTGCTATGGCCAGGGAGTGCAGTGGAGGATGGCCCAGGTGCTTGGGCCCTGCACCCCATGGGAGACCAGGAAAAGCACCTGGATCCTGGCTCCTGCCATCGGATCAGCGCGGTGCGCCGGCTGCAGCGGCGGCCATTGGAGGGTGAACCAACGGCAAAGGAAGACCTTTCTCTCTGTCTCTCTCTCTCACTGTCCACTCTGCCTGTCAAAAAAAAAAAATAAATAAATAAATTTAAAAAAAAAAAAAAAAAAAAACCTCTGATGAAACTAGGTATGGAAGGGTCCCCCTTCAACATAGAATGTCATATATAACAAGACAGCAGCTAATAGATTGAGTGTAGAAAATCTAACGCTTTCTCCGTAAGATTTAGAATAAGACAAGGATGCCCACTTCTACCACTTTTATTCAACGTGGTACTGGAGGTCCTAGATAAAGAAATATAGTCAAAAGAAAGAAAGAAAGAGCATCAACATTGAAAAGGGCAATTCCTTTCAATGTTTGCAGATAACTTGATTATATATATTGAAAACTCCAATAACTCCCCCAAAACCTGTTAGAACTAATAAATTCAGAAAAATTCCAGGATACAAAATCATTTTATAAAAAACTGATATTTGTAATTGCATTGCAACTCAATAGTAAATCAGAAAAAGAAGAAAGCAGTCCCATTTCCAATAACTACAAGAAAAATAAAATAACTGGTAATAAATTTAACCAAAGAAGTGAAAGATCACTACAATGAAAACAATAAGTCATTGATGAAAAAAACTGAATGGAACCCAAGGAAATGGAAAAAAAATACCATAGACATGGATTGGAAAAATAAATATCATCAATATGTATATACTATACAAAGCAATGTACAGATTCAATGGGGTACCTATCTCAATGTCATTTTTTCTCAGAACTAAAAAAGTACAAACACACACATACACAAAACACAAAACAGCAACAATGACAAAAGCACTAATATTTCTAATAGTTGTATGGAACCACAAAACAGCCTGATAGCCAAAGAATTCTTGAGCAAAAAGAACAAAGCAGAAAGAATCACAGTACCTGACTTTTTTTTTTTTTAATATATTACAGAGCTGTAGTAACTGCAACAGCATGGTATTGACATAAAGACTTGTCTATAAATCGGAGGAATGGAGTAGAAATAAACCCATGCATTACAGCCAACTGCCTTTGACAAAGGTGCTAAGAACCTGTATTGGAAAAGATAGTAAAGATAGTCTTTTTAATAAATAGTGCTGGGAAAATTGAACAGACACATTCCGAGGCTTGAAACAAGACATCTATCTCTCACTATTTAAAAACATTAGCTCAAAAATTGATTAAAGACCCAACCAAGAGACCTGAAATTTGAGGCTATTAAAAGAAAATATGGAGCCGGCGCCATGGCTCAACAGGCTAATCCTCCGCCTTGCGGCGCCGGCACACTGGGTTCTAGTCCCGGTCGGGGCGCCGGATTCTATCCCGGTTGCCCCTCTTCCAGGCCAGCTCTCTGCTGTGGCCAGGGAGTGCAGTGGAGGATGGTCCAAGTGCTTGGGCCCTGCACCTGCATGGGAGACCAGGAGAAGCACCTGGCTCCTGCCATCGGATCAGCGCAGTGTGCTGGCCACGGCAGCCATTGGAGGGTGAACCAGTGGCAAAGGAAGACCTTCCTCTCTGTCTCTCTCTCTCACTGTCCACTCTGCCTGTCAAAAAAAAAAAAAAAAAAAAAAAAAAAGAAAAGAAAGAAAATATGGGGAAAACACCTAAGGACCAGGACATTGGAATTGACAAGGATTTTCTGGATCAGATTCCACAAGCATAGGAAATTAAAAAGAGAGAGAGAGAGAGAGAGAGAGAGAGAGAGAAACTGTACATCAGCTAAGTAAAGAACTTCTGCATAGAAAACTAAGCAGTTGGCCAGCACTGTGGCTCACTTGGCTAATCATTTGCCTGAGGTGCCAGCACCTCAGGTTCTAGTCCCTGTTGAGGTGCCAGGTACTAGTCCCGGTTGCTACTCTTCCAGTCCAGCTCTCTGTTGTGGCTCCAGAAGGCAAAGGAGGATGGCCTAAGTGCTTGGGTCCCTAGACCCGCATGGGAGACCAGGAGGAGGCACCCGGCTCCTGGCTTGGGATCGGCGCAGCGCTGGCCATGGCAGCCATTAGGGAAATGAACCAATGGAAGAAGACCTTTCTCTCTGGCTCTCTCTCACTGTCTATAATTCTCTCTCTGTCTCTCTCTCTCTCTCACTGTCTAACTCTGCCTAAGAAAGAAAGAAACAAACAAACAAACAAAGAAACTAAGAAAACTAAGCAATCAAAAAGAGTAAAAAGATAATTCTCAGAATAGGAGAAAATATTTGCAAACTATATATTTGGCAAGTGGTTAACATTCAAAAAATATATAGAACTCAAATAACTCAATAGCAACAAAACAAATGATCCAATTTAAAAGTAGGAGATACACCTAAATGATCAACAGGTACATGAAAAACTACTCAACTTCACTAATCAGGGAAATGCAAATCAAAAGACCAATAAGATATCAGGTCACCCCTTAAGATTGTTATAAAAAAAGACAAAAGATAACAAATATTAGTGAGGATATGGAGAGGGAATATGATTGAGAGGAATGTTAATTAGTGCAGCAATTGTGGAAAATAGTA